TTTGTCACCCACTCATAAAGTGAGGTGCCGCTGATGCTCTCTTCTGGCTCACCAGAGCCCAGCATGCGCTCACTTCCAGCCCCTCCTCAAGTGACCTCTTGCTCCTGTTTGGGAGATCAGCCAAGGACAGGTGTGTGTATAAGTTGGGGGGGCGACATGAAAATTGCTGATCCACTGAGGAGGTGGGGAGGGGAGCAGCAGCATCTGTGCAATTCACTATCCCTGCCTCTTGAGGGTCTGGAGTTTGCTTCATTTAGCATCTGTGCAATTCACTATCCCCGCCTCTTGAGGGTCTGGAGTTTGCTTCATTTATGAAAACGCTGCGGGTCTAAGAAAGGGGCTGCCATCCACAAAATGGTTATTCTTCCAGGATTCTCGGGTCTTGCTTTGAGCTCTGCCTTGGGTTCAGTTTCTTTTGCGATGGGAAAGCGTTCTGCATGTCCTCAGAGGATCTCTTGTAAATACAACACGCAGCCGCCGCCCCCCGGCATGACTCCCAAATTGCAGGCGCCTTTTGGGACCTATACATCCAGAGAACGTAAGTCAAACTCAAGGTGTGCGGGCCAAACCCGACCCGCCGGGCTGTTTCATGTCGGCCCTTGCAGTGTGGCAGGATCGTGGTCCCCAACCCCAGTCCGTGGCCTCGGAAGTACCAGGCGGCCAGGACAGATGAGCAGCGAGGGCTGGCTGGCTGGCTGGAAGGGGGAGAGGCAAGCCCAGAATGGGTGGAGACCTGGGGGAGGTGTGTTGGCATTGCCTCGCCTTCTTCTCCTTCCTCCATGTTGTGCCAGGGCTGGCCAAGCAGGGTGACAAGCCGGGAGGCAGGCAGCCAAGCCAGATTCTAAGCCCCACCACAGGAGGTCCACACCCATCCCCCTGACCTATCCATCACCTGTGCCCTCGAAGGGGGTGCACAGTGAGGCGCGGATCTTGGCCTCCAGGTGGCATGTCCAGCCTGAACTACCTGGCTGCCGAGTGTTCCATCTGCTCCCAGGGTCCTGATCCACCCACCCTCTAAGGAGTGGAGGAGGAGGAAATGCCTTGGTGTGGGCGTGGCTTGTCTCCCCATGCCCTCCACAGACCGCGATTCCCAAGGCCCAGGCAACATCAGAATCAGTTCAGAACTGGTGGGATCACAACTTTCCCACTGTAACATATAAAGAAGAAAAAAGAAATCACCATGTTATAACAAAGCAAAGCACTGGATTTTTTTAATAAGACTATTTAGAAGCATAACAATGGCTCGCCTCTCTGTGCCCTCCACAGACCATGATCCCGAGGCCCAGGCAACATCAGAATCAATTAATCCACTGTTCAGAACTGGTGGGATCACAACTTTCCCACTGTAACATATAAAGAAGAAAAAAGAAATCACCATGTTATAACAAAGCAAAGCACTGGATTTTTTTAATAAGACTATTTAGAAGCATAACAAGGGGGGAAAGAACTTCTGTGAATGCCTACTCCCACCAAGATCTACCCGGATCACCCATGCTAGCCAGGAGGTGATCAGTTCAGAACTGGTGGGATCACAACTTTCCCACTGTAACATATAAAGAAGAAAAAAGAAATCACCATGTTATAACAAAGCAAAGCACTGGATTTTTTTAATAAGACTATTTAGAAGCATAACAAGGGGGGAAAGAACTTCTGTGAATGCCTACTCACACCAAGATCTACCCAGATCACTCGCGCAAATCAGGAGGTGAGGCTGAGGAGCCTGACGCCGAGAGAGGCCCGGAAGGAGAAGACACAAAACTGGGCCTTCTTGGCGGTGGCTCCTCGCCTCTGGAACAATCTCCCTCCTGAGATTCGTGCGGCCCCCACTCTGGGCACTTTTAAAAGTCAATTAAAAACATGGCTATACATTCAGGTCTTCCCTCCAGCTAATATCTGGTTTTTCTGTTTATTCTCCCCTTATTTATTTTCTACTCTATTTTTATATTGTGTATGTTATAGTATGGTTTGTAATTTTTGCATTTTATTGTTTAAACGATAAAAGTGACACTACTTTTAAAAGATAAAGCAATGAAAATAATAAAGTCAAATGACTTCCCCCCAAAGATAGAGTTCAAATCTTTGGTCAGCTGTTCTCATTGCAAAGCGCCTCAAAATGGTGAGTTACAGGTATGAGTGTGTGTGACAATCTCCCATGTCACTCAAGCCATTCATATTCATGAGCGGATTTGCATGAACCTATGAGCGGACTGGAGAGGCGGAGTCAGCTATATGAGTTTTGGCGGGAGAAGGAGTCGTCAGATAGAGATAGATATAGATAAGGGCTGGTTAGTCAGAGAGAGAGGGAACAGATACTGAGTGATAAAGCTGGTTAGGAAATTAGGTAGAGAGGTGGTAATGATATACTGTAGCTGGAGAAAAGAAGTATGTACTGAGAGAACTGTTGATGAACTGCTTATGTATATGGTGTATCTGAAGAACTTCTGTTAATGTTTAATCTGCTTCACTTCAATAAAATAAGCTCTGTTTCTGTTTACAAGTGTTCTGATATACGTCATTTGTATGTGGATTGAAGTAATCCACTGTTGGCAGCAAGAAGAGAAAGGGATGTGAGCCTTTGTGAGGAAAAATAACAAGCAGGGGCCACAAGGGTGAACGCCACAGTGTGTTTTTTAAGCTTCTTCACAGAAATTAAATGTATTGTGTGTTTTTTAAAATGAGGATTCATAGGAGTCCTGGTGTGTTTTTAAAATGAGGATTCATAGGAGTCCTGAAGCGTAGTGCAGTACGTTCCTGGAGCCACACATTCCCTGTAACTATTCCCTGTAATTAGAAAAGAAATTTAAGAAGGCACTATATTTGCACTACATTTCCTCATTGCACCACAATTGTACTATAATTTGCTGGAGAAATAATTGGTTACCAGTAACCCCTTATCTGCTATTTTTATTGTTGTTTAGTTGTTAAATCATGTCCAACTCTTCGTGACCCCATAGACCAGAGCACTCCAGGCCCTCCCGTCTTCCACTGCCTTCTGGTGTTGGGTCAAATTTATGCTGGTAGCTTCAATAACACTGTCCTACCATCTCGTTCTCTGTCATCCCCTTCTATTTCCATCAGAATGGATTGGTTGGATCTCCTTGCAGTCCAGGGAACTCTCAAGAGTCTCCTCCAGCACCACAATTCAAAAGTATCAATCCTTCGGTGGTCAGCCTCCTTTATGGTCCAGCTCTCACTTCCATACATCATTACAGGAAAAACCATAGCTTTGACTATGTAGACCTTTCCTTGTATGTTATGGTGCTGTTGGACATAAAGAGACAAGTGATCCATAGCATTAAGATGCAAATACATTTTGGATTGATTGGAATACAATAATTGGGGTTTTATTTTTTGAAGTCACAGACAGATAAAACTTTATTACGATCAAAAGACCAACCACAGGCAATTGGAAGTTAACACAGCAAAACCTATCCATTTATGAATTTATCATTCTTCCACATATATGCAATTTCTACAGCTGTATATTATTGCATTTCCTTCTCAATTTGTTCTTAAGCAACAAACATGTTTCATTATTGCAAAGCAATCAAAACACAAATACAGTCATGCCGCACTTAATGATTACCCCCTATCACAACGAATCCGGTTCACAACAATGTTTTTGTAATCGCAATTGCGATCGCAAAATGATGTTTTAATGGGATTTTTTTGCTTCCTGATGATCGGTTCCCTGCTTCGGGAACCGATTCTTCGCATTACAACGATCAAAACAGCTGATCATCGGCTTTGCAAAATGGCCGCCGGCTGCTCAAAATGGCTACCCGCTGTGTTTTGGGACGAATTCCTCACTTTACAGGCAGTGAAAACGGCCGCCACTATGGAGGATCTTCGCTGGACGGTGAGTTATTCAACCCATTGGAACGCATTGAACGGTTTTCAATGCATTTCAATGGGCTTTTTTATTTTGCTTTACGACGTTTTTGCTCTACAGCGATTTTGCTGGAACAAATTAACGTCGTTAAGTGAGACACCACTGTATATATTAGCTGAAAGTAGTGGTCAATATCCTCACCGTGCCTCCTGTAAGCACAGCCATCTTGTGCGCGAGAGGAAACAACTGAGTGAAACTGTAAAATAACTTCAGCAAATTCCCCATTCCCTGAGAAATACAATGTCACAATGCTACAGCTCAAGCTCTCTGTTTCAGCTTGCAGCCTCCTGCTGGCCAGCTTGCCTTCCGACTGTCTTTCCTCCTTCCTCCATCCTGTCAGGAATGCGTCTCCTTACAGAAGACATTCCATTAAGGGAAGGAGCCAAACTGTCTTTCCCAACGCCCACCACTATTTCCATTCTTGACTGGGTGAGATTGAGAAGGTGAGTGACTGGGAAATTTTGGCAGGCTTCTATCCCTCGATTTCCAGTTGACTCAAATTTCCAGTTGACTCACCTCCTTAAGCTGAAAAATCTTTAGCCGTAAACTTTGAACCTTGCACATCACCCTGACCAAGTAGGACACACATTCAAAGAACCATAAATAGCAGATAAAGCCCTTGTGGCGAAGACCCTTACTTCAACCACTCTCACCTTTGCCCTTAAGGATCACAATTGGGAAACAGATAAAACATATGTTTAAAAAGGAAAAAAAAGCTATAAAACAAAAGAAATACAAAAAAGGCAATTTGTACTGATTAAATGCCAACTCCCAAAAGCCTTTCCCATAAAACAATAAAAGTATGAACTAGCTCATCATTTTACTACTTAATGGCTAGGCTGTTCTAAATCACCATGGCTAAATTTCCTTCATCCATCAAAGAAGGTTATAAACCTTCCATCTTTTTCTCCTCCTCCAGTGTACCCACATACCTTCACCCCCCTTTTCTATAACTTACAAGTGTCTGCTTTGTGATGGCATCATTTGTCATTCTTAGGTGTGGCCTTTTTTCTCCACAGCAAGATCTTGGTCTCAGGCCCAGACAGAACGCCTGCAAACTCTGGAAAACAGGTACTACAGAACCCATATCCTCACACGTCCTGCCCAGGTTTTGCAAGTCCGACAAAAAGTTCTCGAGGACTCAATCGCTGGCCTTTGCAATATGTATTTTGGTGCCCCTTAAAGGCCTTACCCAACGGTGCCTTTTTTATTCCACTTACGTACTGCGTACTTTTGCATGAGTAGGGAAACCTTCTGTATTCTTCAAGAGAACCACACTCTCCAGAGGACGATGACTACATCTTCCTGGAAATGTCAGTTAATTCGACAACTCCAAAGGACCGGTTTGGGGTTTGCCTGGAGCATCCTGCGAGGATGCCAGCAGGATGGCGCTGGCCACGCCACTCCCACCTAATAAGGTTTCATTTCAGGGTCCCCGGAGAGCCTTTCAAAGCATCATCCTTAGTGTTCCTGCTGGATCAGAACATGGCGTCGCTTTCGGGGTGGATTTATACTCCGCATTTCTTCACTGGGGGCTGGAGGGCTCCTTTCTCGTCGGTGTCCTGGAAAGGAGAAACAGTTTGGTCTTTACTCTCTGGTGGCTGTTATTCATATTAATTAAGTGCAATTCCCTTATGTGGTTTTTAGATATTTCATTTGTTGTAACGTATATAAATTATATTGATGTCTTTCTTTCCTTTAGAGCAATTTTACTGATTGCACCTTTCCCTTAGTGCTCTCAGTATCAGGAAGATTAGAAAGAGTTCACTAAGTCAATAATAGGGAGCTGGCTAAATCAATAGATAAACAGATTAGATCACACAGGTACACAGAAAGATGAGGTGCGATGGATTGATGCTGGAGATATATGTAAGAAGAACTCTGGTTTTAAATTATGGGGTGGACTAGGTGACCTCACTTTGCCATGGAAAGTCACTATTCAGATCGCTGTAAGATGGTTCTGGCTTGACAGCACAGAACAGAACTAGATGACCTTCTAGATGACTTTACAGTGGACCCTCGACTTACAGACGGCTCGACTTACAGACTTTTCGAGTTACAGACTTCTCTGGCTGCAAAATTTAGGTTTGACTTGCAGCCGGAGAAACGACTTACAGACCAGAAAAAAACCAAAACGGAACAAAAACGGCCATTTATGGATTAATTGGTTTTCAATGCATTGTAGGTCAATGGAGACTCGACCTACAGACATTTCAACCTGCAGCCACCGTTCCAATACGGATTAATTCCGTAAGTAGAGGGTACACTGTACTTTCTAGCTCAAAAAGACCATTGGACGACAGAGGGGAAGAAAGAGAAAACCAGGAGAAAGCTGATGATAGAAATACTTCTCATTCCTGCCTGACCAAGGACTATAACTTATCCTTCCTCCCATCTCCTACCATGCCCCACACCAGACTCACTTATGGTCATGACGATGACGATGATCAAAGGCACAACCAGGAGAACGAGCCCGAGGATCACACCAACCATCACCCACAGACTGATCCCTGGGACTGAAACAGGAGAAGAGAATGAAATGTTATGATAGGATATCAAACCAATCCCCCTTGCTCTCAGGTGGGTTGAGAGGGCTGCCTGTCTTCAAAGATGAGGCGTCCAGGCCAGGCATCGAACTAAGATGGTGCTGGTGGTGCGCTTCTGAGGATCAGCCTGCCTCCCTCACATTCACCCCCACCCCCAGGAAAGACTATCTGTGATCAGGAAGGTGTGTGTCCATTGCATGGCTGATGGCACAAATGTTTCCGCAACCAGGTGTCCCACAGACACCCCTCCCCGGAGATACTGGCCTTCAACTGGCCACCTTCCTCGTCCCTTCCAGGTCCTTACCAGGCTGCTCCACAGCTGGGTCAGGATCCCCAAGCAGGCTGTCGTGCTCCACGGTGCAATGATACTGGTCCCTCTCCTCTGGGTCAATCTCAATACTGAGCCACGTGTGGAAGGTCCCGTCCAAGTTAGGAACCACGTTCCCGCGGTGGGTCTCGGCTTCCAAGACATCCCCGTTCTTCCTCCACGTGGCATCAATCGCCTTGGGGTAGAAACCGTGAATGTGGCAGACGAGGGCCTCAACACCATCGCGGCCCTTTTTGTGAACCACCTTCACTTCTGGAGCCACTGCAAAAACAGCAATCTCTTAACCTGGACTCCTAAATCAACGCAGCACTGAATGCTGTTTTGATCCCTTCCCCACCTTAAAAGGTAAGCAGAAGCAGAAGGAGAGATCTAGTTGCCATCACCTTGCTTTTTAAAAATAGATTTTGGCTATTTCTGGATGCACAAAAAACTGACTCTCTGCCTGCCAAAGTTGCCCAGTCTTTGCAGCTTTTGGCTATTTCCGGATGCACAAAAAACTGACTCTCTGCCTGCCAAAGTTGCCCAGCCTTTGCAACAGGAGGCAAAATATATTGCAGTTGGCTTTTATTTGCGCCACGAGTTGATTCCTTATTTTCTCAGAGTTTAGACTGTGATGTTTCAGAGGCACTTCTGCTTCTTGGTTGTGGGTAGCCAGGTTGCCCTTCACCTTCCCGATGCTTAATTCAATGCATTGCCTGTCATTAATGAGTCTTACCCAAATGCCTGCTTCCCTCTTATGGCACGGTGAAAATAAGTCTGAAAATGCAAAGCCTGGCAGAATATGTTACAAGGCCCTTCTAAGCATGTTTTGAAAGTCATCCCCTGAACATAACTTTGTAACTATCGGTTGTATTGCAATCTAAATTTTGGAAAGGAAGTGGAAACACCTCAAATAAGGAACCATCTGGTTTTTTGGGGGGCTGGTTTGGGGAAACTTGGGAGTGGGATACAGTTTTGCTAATTAACAAGAAGCCTGGGCAGCAGAGATTGATGGTTCAAATGTTGGGGCCAGCTCCTGCTCTCTCTGCCGGCCACAAGCCCCCCATTTCAGAGAGTGGGTGACTTTGACCACAGGAAGACAAAGAGGATGGACCAGGGCACAAATGGTGGTGGCAGGAGGATGCCACCAATGGGAGAATTGGTGACGCAGGGTCTCATCCTGTGATTACTAAGGAGCTGGACAAGGGGGGATCTGCAAGACAATGTTGCAACAGGTGCATTTCAAAAACCAAGCAGACATCAAGTCTCGGAGGGTGCAGCAGAGGCATCTGTGCAGGTAGCAGTCCTGAATGAGCAGAAGAACTTCCAGAACACACACACACACACACACACACACACACACACACACACACACACACACAC